TCAGTCTACACCCAGTGAGTCCATCCAAGCGGATTAATCCACTTTCAGTCTACACCGAGTGAGTCCATCCAAGTGGATTAATCCACTTTCAGTCTACACCTCTCACAACCCACTCATTCCACCTCTGGACCGTCTTGCATGGTCTCCCGTGAGCTTAAGGGGACCCCGATGGCTGCACCATAACACTGGTGACCTGACCGTCCTGTGAAGGCCAGTCCCTCCCGGCCACACACCCAGCCTCCTCTTATCCGTCATCACCCTCCAAGCCAGTGTCCACTGCCTCCACCGCCCAGGGTCACAGGACAAACAACTAGGGACGTCCTCCACCTGACTGTCACCGAGACTCTCCCAACTACCCAGTCCCCGCCTGCCCACCAGGGTCAGCAGTGGACGGTGGGCCACCCCAGTGCCTCCCCGTGTGGCCCTGTGACACTCAGCTCTGGTCACTGCGACGAARGCCCGAGACATGCGACTGGTCAAGAGAAAAGTCGACTCTGGGTCCCCGTCTTGGAGGTGGRGCCTTGGGGCAGCCGCACATGACGGTGGGCGCGAGTGGCAGAGGAGAAAGAAGAGCAGAGGACGAGCCTGGGGTCCCAGTGACCCTGCAGCACACTGGTCCAGTGACCTCRGGTCCCCACTAGGTGGCGCCACCTCCTGACCGCTCCAGGCTGGGGACCCAGCTGCTGACCATGGCCTGCGGGGGCAGTGGAGAAGCAGACTAGCCCCAGGGCCTGCCCGGCTCCCGCATCTGGGGAACCCACACCGCAAACCCGCTGGCCGCCGGCTGCCCATCCGTGGCCGCAGGACCCGGGAGTTCTCCATGGACCTCTGCGCTCGGAGCAGGGAATGTGGACACAGAACACGGCGAGCTCCTCGGGGCTCGGGGGAGACTCTGCGGGGGACACTCTYGTCCCCTGGGGTCGGCCATGGGCAGGAAGACCACGCCCCAGATGGACAGTCCCTCCCTTCYCTGCCCGTCGGAGCCTCGGGCCCTCGCTCTGAGAGCGCCAGTCACACTGAACGGAAGTCCCACTGGGGACAGTGCGCAGCCTGTGCACCATCCTGGGGACCACCCTGTGCACCATCCCAGCCTCCACAGCTGTGCACCATCCTGGCCTCCACACCCTGTGCGCCATCTTGGCCTCCACAGCTGTGCACCATCCCGGCCTCCAAACCCCGAGCGCCATCTTGGCCTCCACACCCCGAGCGCCATCTTGGGTTTTACACCCCATGCGCCATCTTGGCCTCTACACCCCATGCGCCATCTTGGCCTCCACACCCCGAGCGCCATCTTGGTTTTCCCCGGGGCCCTCTGGCTGTGCTGATGGAGGGTGCCCGGGTGGAGCTGTGGTTCTCAATGGCCCTTGGAGACTCGGGTGGTGGGCTCCACCCTGGGGCCACCCACAGGGTCCTGAGAATTGCTGTCCTCACAAGCTTCGGACGCGCCGCTGGTCCATGGGCCTCCCTGGGACAGACGAGGTGTCCCTCAGCCCGAGCGTGGATGCTCCGTCCACGTCCCTCGCCGGGCACCACCAGGAAGAGCGCCACCAGCTGTAGCCRCTGACCACCAGAACCGGGGGCTGGAGAGCCAACCCTCCCCTGGCCTGGGCCCGAGCCTGTCCTCCCAGAGGGCAGGAGGATCGCAGGTTCAAAGCTCATCACTCAGCGAGGCCCAAGCCACTCCGCGAGACCCCGGCTCAGCATGAAAACCAAACCAAACCTTTTTTTCCTATTCTCTACACSCGCCCTGCCTCAGGCACCCTGTCACAGTGACAGATGGCCCCGAGCAGCCCAGATCCCAGGGCCACACGCAGGGCCTGTTCACAGGCTGAGCAAGGTCCCCGAGAGACACGGGAACCCAGGCCCCTCGGTCCGCGGGCATCGGAGCCACCGCTGGGACACCTGGCTCTGGGCCAAGAGAGGGTCCCCGAGCGGCTGTGCCTGTGGCTCAGTGCGCGACGCTGGGCACGCTCCATGGTCCTCCGCCTGCGGTCTCTTCCAGGTGGGGCCGGGGCGCTGGCCCAGGAGTGCGCCTCTCTGTACCCCGGGTGCCAGGTCACCGTCTTCGAGGTCCCCGAGGTGGTGCAGACGGCCAGGGCCCACCTCCCGCTGCCGACGGAAGGGCAGGTGGGCTTCCGCGAAGGTAGGTGTCCTGGGGACTCCCGGGGGGGGGGGGCGAGTGATGTGGCGCACGGACCCTCCAGGTCCCCTCGTCCCCTGTGTGGCAGGGGACTTCTTCGCAGACCCCCTCCCCGAGGCCGACCTCTACATCCTGGCCAGGGTCCTGCACGACTGGYCAGACGAGACGTGCTCCCGGCTGCTGGCCAGCGTCCACCACGCCTGCAGGCCCGGTAGGGGACAGGGCGGGGCGCGGGGTGGGGGACGTCCCKCAGGCTGCCCTCCCAGAGGAGTGGCCACAGCAAGGCTGGCCTCGAGGGCCAKCGGACACCAGAGCCACCTAATCAGGGGGACGGCCGGGGCTCCTCGTGGGCCAGCATCCATCACGTGTCAGCGGACTCCTCCATGTGACGGGGACAGTGCCCAGCTGTCCTCTGAGGCCACCGTCCTGGTGGCCCTTGGGTCCTGGGTGTAGCCTCTGTGTGTCCTGGGGACAGTGCCCAGCTGTTCCCTGAGGTCACCGGTCCTGGTGGCCCTTGGGTCCTGGACACAGCCTCTGTGTGTCCTGGGGAGAGTGCCCCGCTGTCCCCTGAGGTCACGGGTCCTGGTGGCCCCGGGGTCAGTGGCTCGCCCCCCAGGTGGCGGCGTCCTGGTGGTGGAGCGTGTGCTGGACGCGGACGGCCGGGGCCCGCTGGCCACGCTGCTGGGCTCGCTCAACATGCTGCTGCAGGCCGAGGGCTGCGAGAGGACCGCCGCCCAGTTCCGCGCGCTGCTGGCCGCCGCCGGCTTCGGGGACTTCGCGCTGCGCAGGACGGGCGGCGTCCACGATGCCATCCTGGCCACCAAGGCGCTGCCCGGGGCCGGCCACCCTGGGGCCCGAGGACAATAAAGAGACGTGTGTCCCTCCCTGGTCTCTGCTCGTGTCACGGGGGGGGGGGGGGTGGGGACGGCCACCGTCATGCCCTGCAGGTGGGGCCCAGAGAGGGTGCCCGGTCTCCTAAGGCGCACAGCACAGAGAGCCACCCAGCCGGGAAGGTCCACTGCGGTCACTCTGACCGCACGGAAGTGTCCCYGGTGGACGGTCCTAATCCAAGAGTGGCTCCGAGGACCGTGTCACCGTCCCCTGGGGGTGACCTGGTGTCACAGGGACCTTCTTGCAAAAGGGAGAGCGAGATTCTGGGTCGCAGCTCCCAGAGGGGCCGGTGGGTGGACTGGGCAGCAGGGTCGTGCCGGGCCTGGGGAGGAGCCTCTTTGCCTTCTCCCTGGGTGCTCAGGACAGCCTTGGGGACCGGGTCGCCATGGCGACATCCCGGGACCCGGGGCAGAGCCGTCTGGGCATCCGCCGGCAGGTGGCGCCCTAGGGCCAAGGCTGTCCATCAAGCCGGCGGGGGGCGGGGCTGGGGACCCGGGGACAGAGGAGCGTCCTGTGTGTCCCCTCGCTGCCTTCCGCTCTGGGTCTCACGACACCATTTCTCTTCGTCGCTTCCCTCCAAATGGCGAAGCCGATTAAATCCGCGGCTGCGGGTTCCTTAGGGAGACTCCCGGGGGGGACAGGGCGACCTCAGGCCCAGGGGACTGGGACCCACCCCCCCAGCACGATTCCTGCAAACCTGTTGGACGTCAGAGCTGCCACTCAGAGTGACAGGCAGGACCGTATTGAAGGAAAGGGGCAGGGGACACTCTCCAGGGACAGAGGGGTCCTCTCAGAGAGGACAGGGACAGCGTGCCCCTCCTGCCCTCCAGTTTTATGGGGTCCCAGGGAAGTCCCCAGAGAGCCCCGCCCAGGTCCCCTCCTGACTTTGACGGACAGCAGGGTGACCTCCGACTCTCCAGTCCCCACGGCCATGGCCACTCTGGGTCCCCCTGGCCGCTGCTGCCTGGTGCTCAGTGGAACCTGTTCTTGCAGATTTTAGGGTTGGAGGAAGGATCCTCGTCCCCCTGGGTCCCGGGACCTGGTCTGCGTCAGGGTCCCAGAAGTCCCCCCTTCAGGGTCCCCTGGCCCCTCTTAGGGACATGGCTTCCCGCCTGCGTGTCCCCTGCAGGTCACAGGTGGAGTGTGAGGAAGGTGGTGGAGGCTGTGCCCGGAGGCCAGGCAGGGCTGCAGGTCCAGGGCTTCTGGGAAGGAAGCTGTGGGGTCAGCACCGGGGGCCAYTGATAGAACTGTCCCCTGGACCTCGTGTCCACCATCTGCTCCCGTCTGTCCTCTGTCAGTAAGGCTGGTCAGAGGGAGAAGTTGATAACTGTTTATTTATTTATTTGGGGTACCACAATCCACAGACCCTGGTCAGCAACGTCCATGACCTGGGGTTTCCACGTATACAGTGGCGCTCAGACATTGCAGGCAGCCCAGGAGGGAGGATGCTGGTCCTGGGAGGGCGCTGGGTCCGTGGCCCCTGCTGCCCCCTAGTGGGTGGGCATTGGCCACTGCCTCTGCGGTCAGAGCTGCTTCTCGGGTCACGGGAGACTGACCACCCGAGGGCAGTCAGTCTCATGCCTCTAGGTGTGGGTGGCCGGCTCTGCAGGGCGCCCAGAGGGGGGACCCTGCTCGGCACTGACCTGGGGGGCTTTCYAAAGCCCCTAGGAGAGGCCGAGGTCCCCCACGGTCATGCTGCCTGCGGGGTCCTCGAGCCCCGGGCCCCACCGGACCCCGTCCTCTGCCCACACGGTTTGAGCACAAGTCGGTCCTGAAATAGCCAGTTGCTGAGCAAAGAGTCCCCGAGAAGTTGCATTTTTAGGAAGCGGAGACGGAGGAGGCTCGGAGCGCAGGGCGCTGGCCCCGGGGTTGCTGGGATCCGTGGGCGAGGCCGGGGCTGCCGGACACAGCGTCCAGCTCAGGAGGTCCGCAGGGCGTTGCTGGCTGCCAGGGACCAGGCGGGGGACAGGGAGGGGCTCGGGATGTCCTTTGGGTTTGGGGGTGGGTGACAACGCTCTGGGTTGCAGAACGACCCTGGCCCACAGTCCTGCAGGCCGGTGCCACTTAGACGGTGACGTCCACGCTGCTCCGTCCCTCTAGGACCGTTTCTCGGGCCCCTGCGCCCTTGACTGGACACTCTGTCCCCCTTGAAGCCCCCCACTCCTCTCTCCCACGTCTCTGTCCCACGGGCTGCAGCCACCTGTCGCCTGCCTTGCTCAGCCCCTGTGGGCACCTTAGGTCGTCCCCTCTGGCCACCGAGCCGGGCGGTGCGTCCCCACGGGGAGCCGCCCGGTGCCTCTGGGGCATCTGCCAGCCCTGGGGGAGGAAGGGTCAGGCGGCGACTGGACAGCCAGGTCCTCGGGACACATGCCATGGGAGCTCGTGCTGGCCGGCCAGAGGCAGCACAGATGTCCAGACCCGATCCCGGGTGGGAGTCCAGCTCCCTGGACAGCAGATTGTCCTGCCGTCGTTCCAGGGCCTCCCTCCCCTGCAGGCTGCTGTGCACCTTTAACCCACAGGAACCGGGCTCCCAGAAACCAGAGCTGGGCGTGGGGCGGGGCCTGGGGCGCGGGGAGGGG